AAAGGAAGTTGAGATGGGCAATGTACGTAAGCTTATAGTCGAAGTAGTTGATGCCCGGAACCTCGTGCCCAAGGACGGCCACGGAGCCTCCAGCCCGTACGTAATCCTCGATTTCCACGGACAAAGGAGGAAAACAAAGACCGTGGTCCGCGACCTCAACCCGACCTGGAACGAGACTCTGGAGTTCAACGCGGACAAAACATCGGACGTGTTTGGGGACATGCTGGAGCTCGATGTTCTCCACGACGTGAAAGTCGGGCCCACCACCCGCAACAATTTTCTCGGCCGGGTCAGGCTAAACTCCGGTCAGTTTGTCAGGAAAGGCGAGGAGGCCTTGATCTATTACCCCCTCGAGAAGAAGAATTTGCTGAGCTGGATCCAGGGTGAGATTGGCCTAAAAATCTACTTCCAGGACGAGATCGAGATCGTCCCCCCACCACCGGAAGCCAAGGTTGATCCGGCGCCAGAGAATGCTGAGCCTCCGCCGGCAACCAATGCTCCTGATGCAGAAGCTAAGAATAGTGAAATTCCGGCGGCTGAGCCAAAGCCTGATTGCGAGAAACCGGCTGAGGATCCACCAGCTGAGAATCCACCTGAAAACGCCAGTTCACGAGCCGTAAAGGTAGAGACCCCTCCACCGGATAAAAACTACGATCAGCTGAAGCCACACGTGTCGCCGGGGTTAGTCCCGGAAGTCAAAGTCAACAGCCTCAACACGCCGCAGCCAATCAGCCGAATTTCGTCCGTCAGCAGCTTTGCATCGGATTTATCTGATAGATCGACCATGGAGCGGTCCACGTTCGACCTTGTGGACAAGATGCACTATATCTTCGTCCGAGTCGTCAAGGCCCGGTCCCTCCCGACCACCGGCTCCCCCGTGGTGAAAATCGTTGTCTCAGGCCGCCATGTCGTTTCTCGGCCAGCCCGCCTGGCGGCCGCCAGCTTCGAATGGGAACAGACGTTTGCCTTTGCACGCGGGGACTCGTCCGACGTGCTAGAAGTATCGGTGTGGGACCCGGCAGCCGGTGGCGGCGGCTTCCTGGGAGGGATCTGCTTCGATGCGGGCGAGATCCCTCTGCGGGACCCGCCCGACAGCTCACTGGCCCCACAGTGGTACCGTCTGGAAGGCGGCGGGGCCCACCGGGGCGACTTGATGCTGGCCGCGTGGGTTGGGACACAAGCGGACGAGTCGTTCCCCGACGCGTGGAAGGCCGATGCGGCCAACAGCCCAACTTCTAGATCGAAGGTGTACCAGTCGCCTAAGCTGTGGTACCTTCGGTCGTGCGTCGTCGAGGCCCAAGACCTTCCCACGCCGATGCCAATGCCCCTCAAACAGTCGTCCTACCAAATTAAGGCCCAATTGGGGTTTCAGGTCCAGAGGACCAAACCGGCCGTCTCGAGCACGGGTGGCCCGACTTGGAACGAGGATCTAATGTTCGTGGCGGCCGAGCCGTTCACCGAGCACAGCCTCACATTCTTCCTGCTCGAAAACCGGCCGACGCCGAAAGAGCCGCTTGTCGTGGGCGTCGCCAGGGTTCCGTTAATGTCTATCGAGCGGCGCGTGGACGATCGCACAGTGGCCCCACGGTGGTGCACCATGGAAGACCCCAACAGCGAGGAGAAGCCTACCTACAGAGGTAGGGTCCAGCTGCGGCTTTGCTTCGATGGGGGTTACCACGTGATGGACGAGGGTGCCCATGTGTGCAGCGACTACCGCCCTACTGCCCGCCAGCTCTGGAAACCCCCAGTCGGGACAATCGAGCTCGGAATCATCGGGTGCCGGAATCTCGTCCCGACAAAAACAACATCCGGAGGGAAGGGGTCTGCCGACGCGTACGCTGTCGCCAAATACGGCAGTAAGTGGGTCCGCACGCGCACCATCTCGGACAACCTAGACCCAAAGTGGAACGAACAGTACACGTGGAGAGTTTACGACCCGTCCACCGTCCTCACTCTAGCCGTGTTCGACAGCTGGCAGCATCCGGACGAGCTGACGGAACCCACCCGACCCGACTCCCGTCTCGGGAAAGTACGCATCCGGATCTCAACCCTAACCACGGGGCACGCGTATCGGAGCACATTCCCGCTGCTGCTTCTATCCCGGGCAGGGCTCAAGAAAATGGGTGAGATTGAGCTGGCGGTCAGGTTCACGCGCGCGGGCCCCACCCTCGACCTCCTGCACGTCTACTCCCAGCCCCTGCTGCCGGCCATGCACCACCTGAGGCCACTCGTGCAGCAAGAAACCCTGAGGTCGGCGGCCGTGAGGATAGTTTCGGCCCACCTCTCCCGCTCGGAGCCGCCCCTCTGTCCCGAGGTGGTGGCCCACATGCTCGACTCCGACTCCAGCACGTTCAGCATGCGCAAGGTCCGAGCAAACTGGTTTAGAATAATCAACATGATGACCGGCGTGATCGAGCTGTTCAAGTGGGTCGACGAGACGCGCTCGTGGAGGAACCCGACGGCCACGGTGCTCGTTCACGCCCTCCTCGTGATGCTCGTCTGGTTCCCGGATCTAATCGTGCCTTCTCTCGCGTTCTATGTTTTTGCGGTGGGCGCGTGGAATTACAGGTTCCGGCCGAAATCCGCGTTGCCGCATTTCGACCCGAAGCTGTCGCTGGCCGAGTGTGTGGAGCGCGAGGAGCTGGACGAGGAGTTCGACTGCGTGGGGCCGAGCGAGGTGCGGGTGAGGTACAATAAGCTGAGGGTGATGGGGGCGCGGGCGCAGGTTCTGTTGGGGGTCGTGGCGGCGCAGGGGGAGAGGGTGCAGGCGCTTGTGGCGTGGCGGGACCCACGGGCCACGGGGATATTTGTGGGGCTGTGTCTCGTAGTGGCGTTTGTGCTGTACCTGGTGCCGCCAAAGATGGTGGCGGTGGCGGTGGGGTTTTATTACCTTAGGCATCCTATTTTCAGGGACAGGATGCCGTCGCCGGCTGTCAATTTCTTTCAGAGGCTGCCGTCACTTGCGGACCGGATGCTGTAGGGTCGGGTTTACTAGTGATTATTTAGTTGTGGATTATTTGTTGGGGGTTGGATATATGCTTGTGCGTGCTACTACATGATTTGGACGCTCGGGATTTAGTAATTTATTAGTGGAACCTCTGCATTGGCATGTAATCTTTCTGTTGTATTTTCTTGTGGACATTCTTGTTATTATTATAAGCTATGAAATGAATGGACATGTGTGGAATTTTGATTTTTTTCGGGCCCAATTTGGGTCTCGACGACATTTATCCTACATCCTGAGGTGTTTCTCTTAAAAAGGAAATAAAAAAAGGCTCTGAAATGAATGAATATATGTTTTTGTGTGAAAATAGTGTTTTCATCCACTATGAAGATACAACTATTTGGGTAGAGATGAAGTTGTACTGATGATTAGAAGAAAAATAAAAGGGCAATGATAGTACTTGACCTGATAGTAGCTTGATGAATATTGTTGTTTCTATGAGATTTTCTTTACTCACGTTTGATAGAAATTGAGAGGAAAAAAATGAACTTTGGGAGGAGATGTACATATGATCTTGTGACTCAGAGAGTATGGAGTTTGCTGGGAAGTTGAAGGGATATATTTGTGTCTGATCCAATCAAAAAGAAATAGATTGGTGATTTGTGACATGGGTTTTGAAATGGGAATTCAAAGCTATTACCAAAAACGATTCCAAATTTAATTTACACTAATTTCATATTATTGAGATTTTAATTACACTAATTTCACATTTTTTATTATTTTATTTATTTATTTATAATTATTATTAATTAAATTCTGAGTTATTACAAGGGCACTACCCCTACGTTTTTTCACCCTTGATTTCTGCACAAATAAGGGGGAAAAGCAGGTAGGGCAGGGTCAAATTAACCCACGTCCGGACCATAGATGACACCTGGATGTGCCTTACTGGAAACAACTAACTTCCAAAGACATCTTGTACCGGAGAAAAAAAACAAACTTCAAAGACATCCCAATTCCCAACTATCCATTACCAGAAAAGGAAGGGCCTTAAAGGACAGCTTCATCTTAAGAATAAATTATCTTGCTAATGCTTCATAATTTGTTTTATAAAATCTTCAAGATCTCTCTCTCTCTCTCTCTCTCTGATTCAGCTGTTATCAGAAATTGATACAGTGGCATCACTGTGAGTTTATTAGTTTTCTATCCTTTGCCTTTCTCAGTTAACTCAGTAGGAAAAAATAGGTAGAATGTAATTCTATTGAGCTTTTCCGGAAGCGCTGCAGATTAATCCTAAAATTTGCTATGCTTTTCAATTTCAATGCATTTTCTGTTTTTTTTTTTCAAAGATTTGCTAATTGCACAATATATGGTTCATGTGAATTATGAGCCATTTGTCTGAAACCGTTGCTCAATGATAGTGACAAGTACTCTCTCTCTCTCTTACACATGGAAAGATAATGTTTTCTTCCAATTGCCAAATGATGCCCTTCACTCTTCCGTATGTTCTCAACATAGTCTGCAAACCAGAGTGGAGTGAACAAAGTTTTATTTATTTTTTAATTATTATTATATTCATCAATGAATTGAAAACTTTCAGAAATAAGTTCCTACTGGTTTGGACCTTAACAAATTCTGAAAACACATACAAAGAAATAACAGTTTTATCTTTCTCAACACAGGCAGCAGCATCAAGCCGAAAATGGAGAAAGGCCGGGCATTTGTAACCGGGCTCATGATCTTCTTATTCTGTTTGTTACAAGCTTTTGCTGATGCAGAGTACAGACTATACAGAGACCCAAAAAAGCCGATAAATCAAAGAATACAGGACCTGATGAGAAGAATGAGCTTAGAGGAAAAGATAGGCCAGATGGTGCAGATCGAACGAACAGTGGCTTCAGCCGAGGTCATGAAGAAGTACCATATAGGTCCAAATCATCTAACTCCCCAAATTCTTGAAATAAGTATGTAATCTGTATTCTGTCATGCACATTACAAAAAGGCTATTTTGTGTGTGTGTGTGTGTGTGAATAAGCAGGGAGTGTGCTGAGTGGTGGAGGAAGTGGGCCCGGCTCTCAGGCATCTCCCGAGAGGTGGGTCGATATGGTGAATGAATTCCAGAAAGGGTCGTTAGAAACCCGTCTTGGAATACCTATGATATATGGGATTGATGCAGTTCATGGCCAAAATACTGTTTACAATGCTACGATTTTCCCCCATAATGTCGGTCTTGGAGCTACTAGGCAAGTAAATTAACTTGCCCTGACATTTGATTTTCATTTCTTATGTTTTTATACCTAATCATTTGCAATGATCTCTGAACATGTCTTTTGTGCTATCTATTCGTGATTTACACTAGTAGTTTTTCATTTTCTTAAGGAAAGTAAATGAACATGTCCAGTTTTTAAACAGAGACCCTGAATTGGTGAAGAAAATCGGAGCTGCTACTGCCCTTGAACTTAGAGCAACCGGAATACCTTACACATTTGCACCTTGCATTGCGGTAACAATCCTATAGTCTATTTAGCCACAACTTATTAAAAATCCTACCAGACTTTCTCTTTTCTGGGAAAAATAAAATAAAATAAAAATAATCCAATCTTTCATGTGTCGTATTACATGGTCAGGTCTGCAGGGACCCGAGATGGGGCAGGTGTTATGAGAGCTACAGTGAAGATCCAACGGTTGTAAAAGCCATGACCGAGATCATAACAGGATTGCAAGGAGATATACCGGCTAATTCTCGTAAAGGAGTCCCTTATGTTGGAGGACAGTGAGTTGTAGCATCAATAATACTAATTACATATAATCTTTAATTTTTTCGTTAAATTATGACTAAAGCGTACACATTTTCTGCAGAGAAAAGGTAGCGGCTTGTGCCAAACACTATGTTGGTGATGGTGGGACGATTAGAGGCATTAACTCGAACAATACCGTGACCAGCTTTCACGGTTTGCTTAGTATTCATATGTCGGCTTATGATGATTCCATCATCAAGGGCGTGTCAACTATTATGGTCTCATATTCTAGCTTGAACGGGATTAAAATGCATGCTAATCGTGAATTTATCACTGGTTTTCTCAAGCATACGCTGCGTTTCAGAGTATGTGAATCGAGTCTCTTGTTATAAATTTTTGGATGTTTATATTATACCCCACTAATTATATTACCTTAATTACATAGAACTTTAGTATGTTCTATGTAGATTAACTGTACTTAAAAAGATAACTACCAAATTTTTACCATTAAATCTGTAATGTCTTTGATTTTGACATATCAACTGATATATCTTCACATTGTATTTTGCTAGGGATTTGTCATATCAGATTATGAGGGCATTGACCAAATTACTTCTCCAAGTCATGCCAACTACACATATTCAATTCTAGCTGGAGTTGGTGCTGGCATAGACATGGTTAGCCCATTGTATATGATCTATTACTCTTTGTTTTAAAGGATCCTTTTTATAAACTGTGTTAACTTGACTGGTTCTTTTTCCAACTACCCTCTGCAGATTATGATCCCATTCAATTACACGGAATTCATCAACGGCCTAACTTTCTTGGTCCAACATAACTTCATCCCCATGAGCCGGATTAATGATGCCGTGAAAAGGATACTAAGAGTCAAGTTCACAATGGGCCTTTTCGAAAACCCACTAGCTGATTATAGCTTGACCGGGAACTTGGGCAGCAAGGTCAGTTTGGCAAATTCATTTAAGCCCCATACATAGACACATCCATGAAAGAAGTTTCAAATTTTCGTGCACTCCGATAAAATAGGAGAATAGAGAGCTGGCAAGGGAAGCAGTTCGTAAATCACTCGTGTTGCTAAAGAATGGGAAATCTGGCGACAGCCCAATTATACCCCTCGTCAAGAAAGTATCGAAAGTGCTTGTAGCGGGCACCCATGCTAACAACATCGGATACCAGTGTGGAGGTTGGACTATTGAGTGGCAGGGCAAAAGTGGCAACATCACAACTGGTAATTAATTAATTTTCAAGAGATTGCAATTTTAATCCATTGTAGTTGAAATCACGTCTCAAAGAGTCTTGCATTGTCAGGTACAACTATCCTAACGGCCATAATGAACACAATCGATCCACAAACAAAAATTGTTCATGTGGAAAAACCGGAGGCCGGATATGTAAACTCCGGAAACTTCTCTTATGCCATTGTTGTGGTGGGAGAAAAGCCATATGCTGAAGGATCTGGAGATAGCATGAACTTGACCCTGCCCAAATCCAGTTATACTACAATTACGAATGTGTGTGCGTATGTAAAATGCGTGGTCGTTTTAATCACGGGCCGCCCAGTTGTGATTCGGCCGTATTTATCACAAATTGATGCCCTTGTGGCGGCTTGGCTGCCAGGGACCGAAGGCCAAGGGGTGGCCGATGTTTTGTTTGGTGACTATGGTTTTGGCGGGAAACTGCCTCGTACTTGGTTTAAGACCGTCGACCAACTCCCGATGAACGTTGGCGATAAGGATTACGATCCGTTGTTCCCCTTTGGTTTTGGGCTTACAACAAAATCCATAGAGGTTAGTTAGAATTGATGCACATTGAGGTGTTCACCTCTATCTTATGCTAAGAAAATGAAACAGTGAAGGGAGTAAAGGGTTTACATAGGTCTATAAGTTGCAAAATATTAGTACACCATGATGCACAGAGCATTGCACCTTCTTTTTCAGTTCAATTTAATGGTATGTGATGAGCATTTAGTTAAGCAATGGTTGGAGGGGAAATTAATATATTGTTATGAACCACACACAATTAATATCTATATATGTGAATGACTATTTTGCCCGTTTTAGTATTATTTCCCTTAGCCCTTGTTTGTTTTTTAGGATGGAATTGGACTAATTTAGTCCCATGGGGAAGGATTGTACTGTTGGGATTGAACTATTCCTGTGTTTGTTATATATGATAAGGGGGTAGGATAACTTTAAATTAAAAAAAAAAAAATGTGTAGGTGGTGTAAAATACTGTTTTACCCCTTTCATATAAATCAAAAACAGTCAAATATTATTAAAA